TTGTAGATAGTAATATGTAAAACGATAACCATTGATAATTTCCTACCATTTTGTCTGTAATTTGCTAAGTCCCCCCTATTATTATGTTATCCTTCTTTTATTCTTTAAAATAAAAATTAAAAAAAAAAAAATGAAGCAATTTTAAGAAGAAAATAGTACCTTTATATCAAAATTACAATCAAGTCTTCTAATTAACACGATGAAAGTGCCAGATGAGTTGTCTTTTACTGGTGGAGGCATTATGGGTTCACAAGCATTCTCTGGTTTTGAATTAATCAAAAAACCCTGAAAAAGAAATGGTAATAAAGTTAGTGCTTTGTTTCACTTAATCAATCAACCTACCTCTGCATGCATCTTCGCTTCATGTGTTTCACATTAGGCTAGATGCATTATCTGGCAACTGGAACTGTTCACAATCCCAGAGCTTCTAAAGTAGAATTTGGTTTCATAAGCTTTTAGTTCTTTAAAATAAGTTCTGTTTTAATATTAATGTGTTTCTTTTTAATCATATATAGGACAGTCAGGCAAAACAACCACCACTATTAACGTGGTGACGTGTTTTTCTCCGCAATGACTGACATTCCTAAGTCAAGAAAATCCTTTTTTCCCGCAGGGCACAGGGCTGAACACAGTGCCTTTGCACTGAACCATAGCCCCAATCCTTTTCCATATTTTATATCAAGACAGGGTCTAAGTCGCTAAATTCCCCCGGCTGGGCTCAAATTTGTCATCCTCCTGCTTCAGCCTCCCAGACTTCTGGAATTACAGGCATGTGCCATCATCATACCTGGCTGCAAATCCTTTTTTAAAGTTAATTTTCAACTTTATTTCACATATTCAAAGAAGGAAAATGTACATTGTAAGTAAACTGCTAGGCATTTACAGAAACACCAGTCTCAGTATGTAAAACAACATATAAAATGTTTGCTTATACTCATTTTCAATAGCAAAAACCAAAAATCATGCACATCAATAAATCAGCCATTTTTTAAATTACAGAATATTCATATAATAAAGACAATGCAACCATTAAAATGAAATATATGTATATATACTAATTGAAACAGTGTCTTCACATAATTAAAGAAAAATAGCAAGTTGCTTTCCCAGAAACGCAGGGTACTTTGACATCACAGAATGTATTAATGCAGAATTTTGTTCATAGAGTAAAACAGAAAAGCCAAATGGTTATCTCAACACATGCTACAAAAAAACTGAATCAGAATATAAAAGGGATAATCATGTTCATTAAACTCCTTTGTAAGAAGAAATAAAGAATGAAAGATATGACATAATACTTTAACAATAGTTCTCCATGGTATTTAAATATGTCACAACAACCAATTAACAGGATTTGGCGATTTCTCCTGCCTTAAACTGTACTGCTTGGCTTGTAATAAGCAAAGCTTTTGCATACATTTCTGAAATAAAATGCACCAGTACTTCATTTATTCCGAGAATAGGTCCTCTTCTTGATTATATAAAGTCTTTTTGGTTTTGCTTTACAGAGAAACAGAAGTATGGTAATCTTTCCAACAATGAGTATTTGTTTTACTCTTGTTATATCTTTTTCTCATTTCTGTGCCTTTCTGTATACAATTTTGTTTTAATGCAAAATCACCTAGTACACTAAATTGTTTTCTACATGTCTATAAAAGCAATTAAACTCAACCCATATGTCACACCAAGAAGGCAGATACATCAATTAAAGACAATACAAAGCTGGGCATGCTATCACATGCCTGTAATCCCCAGCTCCTCAGGAGGCTGAGGCAGGAGAATCACTTGAGTTCAAGACCAATCTAGACAACATAGCAAGACCCCATTCCCTCCCCAAAAAAGAAAAAAAATTACTAAATGAACTACGGCAAATTTCTCCTTGAGGTAATGACAACTCCATCAAGAATGCTATCTAGCTAAAGCAAAGTTAAAAACACATCCCCACCTGGGCATGGTGTTACACACCTGTAATCCCAGCAATTGAGAGGCTGAGGCAGGAGGATCACTTCAAATTCAAGGTCAGTCTGAACTACAGAATGAGACCCTGCCTGAAAAAACAGAAACAGCTCAGCAAAGCAGGCCCAGCATGCCCCAGTGGGGTAGGCCCAGCACAGTGGGACACTTTCCTGAGGGGCCCTGAAGAGCCAACAGTTGGCGAATAAGGTGAACAGTCCCATGCTTCGGCACACACAGACACATGGAACAGAAGTGGGCAGGAGGGGCTGCCATTTTACCTCAAAGGGATCTGGGAGAACCCCAGCAGCAGAACAGGCCCAGGTCACATCACTGTCAAAGCCCCAGAGTGGAATAAGGAAAGAGCTATCCAGTCACACTGGACTGCTAACAGCTGGGAAGCAGACTAGGGGGAATCCGCTGAGAGGTAGGAGCTAGGACCATCAAGACTCCACTCTGGTGGCCACCTTGGCCCACTGGCACACACAGCCAAGCAGTCTTGGCCTGCAGCGGGACAAGGCTACTCCCCGACCCTAGACTCCGGGGAAAAGCTAGTGGTGCTAAACACAGGGAGCTGTGCAAGGTCCAGAAGGAGCCAACTACACACAGGTCTGGGAACAACTCCAGGCTCTCCCTACCAAAAGACACCACAACAACGGGGAGTGCCGTAAAGTCAAACACAGTAGGAGAAATGGACACACGAAGCGTTGTCAGCTGAAGACCAATCCCAGCCTCCAAATCCAAAGGCCAGGATCAGTCCCACACCCTACCCAAATTCTACCACGAATTTGGCAGGGTTACACAGCACATTTCTGGGATCCGACTTGGATACTATCACAGAACTGTGGATACTGGGAGAATTTTACTTTTTTCTTTCTCTTTGTTTAAATGGTTTTACTTTTTCAGTCTGGTTGACGTGGGTTTTGTGTGTGTGTGTTTTTGTTTGTTTTGTGTTTTTTTATTTTATTTTTAATTATTTAGGTCTCTTACCTTGATTTTTATTTTCTTCTATTTATCTTTCTTCTCTATTCCCTCAACTATCTCTCTTGATTTTATGATACTTTCAGGTGAGTGAACAGTCTTTTTCTGATTTACTTCAATATTCTTTTGCATTCTCTTTCATTCTTTCGCTCTTGCACTCTCCCCTTCAGTTTCCCAAAACTTGGGTGATCAGTCTTTGCCTTACAGCTTTGCTTTTATTATACTTCTCCTCATTCATCTCTCTGTTTTGTCCCCTATTCCTTTGATTAGGGGGTATTTAAGCCTTCTAAACAGGATAAAATTATTCTAGCAAGGAGAAACTCATGGCACACAAGTACCTCACATATGTTGGATGTTTTTATGTAACTATAGAGCTTCATCCTATGGTTTAAGAAACCAAATTAATAGTTACCACATTTTATCAGTTGCTAGACTGTGATTGATGCTATTGTTGTTGCTAATTGTACTACTTTAGCCAGGCTGTCATACATGTTGTAATCAGTTTTTCTCCCTCATATGACAACACTGTGATTATCTGCAATAATAACCATCACCATACTCCATTACCAATGAACTGCGTGCTGAGCCAAACAGGCAGCAACATCTCACCATTAACAAACTGGGAAGGTAGGATCTTGGGACACACACAAAAACCAAGAACCACTTACACCTGTTATACAGACATTTCCTAGGGAGGCCTCAATACTAGTGATAAAAGCTACCTACCATAAGAAATTTATAGGTATCAACACAAAATAAAATCTCAAAACAAAATAAAATTTAAAAAAATAGAAAATGATAAGACAGACACAAAATGCAGCCCCAGACTTCCAGCCCACCCAGGACGAGTCCAAGGGACAATGAGGTAAAGGAAAATTGGAGCCACCTATCTGAAATTTCTGAAATGATCATAGAAGTTCAAAAAAAGGTGCATGGCACTATAGAGGAAATCAGATCAGAAATAATCTCTGAGGTAAAATTAAAAAAGACAGAGATGATGACCATAATAAAGGACTTACTCTGCAAATCTAGAGTAGACATAGATTTAAAAAAACAGAGGGGTATAGAAAAATGATCCATGAAACATATTCAAACAGATGTCCAGGAAATTAAAATTTCAATTAAAAGTTTGCAAAACTGCATAAATGAAAGTGAAGATAAAATTTCAAGAAATAGATTCCCTAGGCGACAAGATCTCAGCTACCAATCATGAAAAGAAAGATCTCTTAAAAATAACAAGTGACTGTGAAAAATCAATTAAACATCTGCAAGTTGATATAAAGAAGAACAATATAAGATTGATCAGAGTCAATGAAAAACCCAGAGTCTGCATAAACAATATTAAAGAAAAAAAAAAAAAACTGTTCAAGAAGTAATGGCAGAAAACTTTCCACACATGGAAAAAAAATTTTGACATACAGATAAGTGAGGCACATAGACCAATTAGCCATGACCAACATAAATCTACAGTAATCAAGATTCCAGAAATTCAGCATAAGAACAGAATATTAAAAGCTGTTAGAGAAAAGATACAAGTCACCTATAAAGGAAAACCCATCAGAATCACAGAAGTCTTCTCAATACAAACCCTCAAGTCAAAGACAGGCTGAAGTGAAGTATTCCAAGTCCTGAAAGAAAATAACCTCCAACCCAGATTGATGTACCCTGCAAGGCTATCTTTGATAATTAATGAAGAAATGAGACAATTCTATGATAAAGAACTGAAGAAATTCATGATCACCAAACCAGCTTTACAATGTATTCTGAAAAATATTCTAGAAGGAGATAACAATGTGCATAATTCCAAGAACACCAACAGAAAGAAGCCACCAGGCAGGGCAAGCAATGAAAAATATAATTAAAAACTGATCAACAAAGAGAAGCCCAGGTCTGATGGATTCACTGCTGAATTCTACAAGAAATTTAGAGAAGATCTAATGCCATTACTGATGAAACTCTTTAATGAAATTGAAAAGGAAGCAATACTTCCAAACTCATTCCTCAAAATAAGGATTATACTCATACCAAAAGCAAAGAAGGAACCAACCAAAAGAAAGAACTTCAGGCCAATCTTGATAATGAACACCCAAGCAAAAAACCTCAGTAAGATACCAGCAAACAGAATGCAGCAAATCTTCAAGAAGATTATGCACTATGACCAAGTATGATTCATCCAAGGGATGGTTCAACATATGCAAATCAACAAATGTAACACACCATATCAACAGAGCCAAGACAAAAATCATGTGATCATCTCAACAGATGCAGAAAAAGCATTTGACAAAGTCCAACTTCCATTCATGATAAAAAAAAACAAACCTACAAAAAATTAGAATAGATGGTCTTTATCT